AGCAAAATGGCAACTGTTTTCTTTTTTCTCCTTTCTCTGCTGGCAATCATGGTACAAATGTTTATTTTCACACAAACACTTGAGACAAGAGCACTGCAGGAGCAGTGCCCAGCATCGGCATCGACAGCATCAGCAGCATCAGCACTAGTGAACACACTTTGAATGGTGTCAGCAGCCAATTGGCTCCGATAACGGGGCGACAAGCGGAGAAGCTGCGATCGACTGGGCAGTGAAGCAGCAGCAGTACCCCAGGATAGTCAGTCAGTGTGGAGCTGTGTGGCACTGGCAGATCAATTGGCAATGGCAGAAGGGGCAGTAGCAGTAGTGTGCCAACTCAAGTGTCCATCGCAGCATGAAAAGGCGGAAATGGGCAACAAAACAAATTAGAATACCAAATATGACTGCACACAGGAGGTGGAAGCCTCTTGGCGGCCACCGCCGACGCCGCCAATAGACGCGATCCACTCGGTCCGAGACTACTTTCTCCTACTTTCACTCTCACTCTCCAGCTCTCCTTTCCTCCTTCGTTCTCCAGCAGGCAAACATCGACGTTCGCTTAATATTTCATGAGCGTTGTGAGCTGCAAGTGCCAAGTGCTACTGCTCGCCCTGCCACAACCGTAAGCATCGGAAATCACACACACACATACTTTCTCTTTCTGCGCCACACGCACCTCCGAGTAGAAGTAGTACTGGCCAGTGACTGCAACTTGGGAAAGCGTTTTCGATTTGCTGTTAAAGGGCAACAAAGTAATGGTCAGAAGAAACTGGCGCTCCTGGTACTGATTTGATTGCCGTGCCTTGAACAGCAATAGCAGCAACAGCGGCGGCGGCAGCAACAGCAACACCAGCCCAAGCTGTGCCTACCTTTGCCTGGTAATGCCGGGCACAAATGATCGAATGCCGTCGAATGGCGGTGAGGCACCGCACTCGCCGACAGCGGCGCACAGTGCCATTAGCCGTCGCCGACGCCGAGTGCCCCCTCCACCAGCGCCAACCACCAACCAGTTTGCTTCAATTGGGGCTAATGCAAGTGACACATGCTGCTCCAGTGAATAATGCATTCACTGTACCTAGTTGGCTTTCACGTAGAGGCGGATAATATCAAAGTGCTAGTCAGGGTCTGCTGGCAAAAATAGGCACACACACTGACTGTGCAAACGTCTCCTTCCTCCTCTGCACCAGTGAATTATGCGCATTGACTGCGCCTTTGATTCGGCAAACATGGTGTGACAAGGCCACAAATTGGCAAACTACCATTTGTTTTGCCAACACTGCCAGCCAGACAGACACTGAAGGCAATTTCAATAGACGGCAGATTCCACTGAGTAATTAGGTGGTACGTGCATCGAGAACTACTAAGGTGATCGGTCATCAGTGGCAGTGCAGAAGCTTTGTTGTACTAGAAATAGGTAAATTGGTACTTGCGCCAAAAAGGTGGAGGGATGCCTGCGCTAAATGAGCTGACCACTAATTGGTCAATTGATCGACATTCCGGTCTTGTCGAGGGGCAACTTTTCCTCTGTTTTGGAAGTTTTAGCCAACTGATTACATTAGGTAAAAGGAAATTGGTAAATCGACAGTTGGCAATTGCAAGTGGAAATAATTTATAAAGTCACAAAAACAATAAATAAAGAAATCAAAGTAAACGAAAAAACAACGCAACAGATAAAATGAGTTTATAGAAAAATTTATTTTCAAATTAACTTTGTGTCACTTTTGATAATACTTTTCCAAAATTATATTTCTGCAATCTTTAACAGGAAAAGTGATCACTCAAGCACAGCAGTGTCAAAAAACTGAAAAACAGCAGTATTATCCTGATGCAAGTCAGCACAGATGCAAAAGAGTATTGCGCAAGCAGCAAAAGTATAGCGCAAGCAGTAACAACAACGGAAACGATCATAGCTGCACCGGAGGTAGTGGTAGAACTGCCAGGTCTGATTGAGATAGGCAGGCAGGTGAACTGTGAGCAGTGATTGAAGTGATTCAATCGACTGCTTTCTTTTGCAAAGGAGCGAAAGATAACAGCGATGATTGATCGGCAGCAAAGAAGATGCAATACCGAAAAGGCTGCCACTTAACTAATTAATCGCATTCAATGCGCCTGCCAATAGGTCACGAACGCTGGGGACTTCGATTCGGCGGCTGTGCAGTGTCTGATGTTGTGCAGTGGGCAGGGTTGAACTGCACGAAACAACAGTGGTTAGGTCACAACGGGCACAACTCTGTCCAGGTGAGACTGTGTGTGTGCTTGCAATAAAGGAAAACACGATGATCGTCGGTGTGTGTTGTAACTTATATTCCCGGTCGAGTCTGCTCCAGTTGGCACTAGCAGAAGCATTTATCGTCATCTCCGGCGGCAAAGGAAAACATTGAGAGAACGATTAGTGATTTGCACACAATTCACAATTTAGTTGAACACAAATCGGCTTTGTGCTCACTGAGACCCGTCTTGCTTTTCGCGTTTCTTTTGCCCGCTTTCCCCTTTTGCTGCTATTGATTGTTCCGGAGTTTTAAAAGCGGGCCAAACACTTTCGCTAGGATAATTCCGATTATAAGGCGATTATAATTTGACGTCGGGTGCTGTGCGCTGAGTGCAACACTATTTAAATTTGCTCCTCTCCACAACATCAGCAACAACAGCAGTAGCAGTCTAGGGACAATCTAACAAACTGTCAACTGAGGACTCCACAAGCAGCACAGAGCTACAGTTGAAACAGTACTGTCCCCGCATTCACTGGCAATCGCTTTAATTCGCTGACTGCCTCCTCGTTCTCGCCTCATTAAAGTGCGTCCTCTCTTTTTGCCGACGCCGCTGTCGTCGTCGTCTTCACCCAACTGCTTGTTGGCCATTTCTGAGGCTGAAACTGAAATGCTTTTCTTTCCTTTCCTTCTTTTCGCAACCACCACCACCACCACAGAATGACACGCTGAAGCGTCCAAGCAGACTTCGCTTCGTCGGGCCGTTTTGTAGTAAGAGGAACTCGTGACTAAATCGAATTTAAATCTAAATCGATTCGATTCTTCACCAGCCTCGGTCGTCGGCTTCTTTCGATCAACTGCAGCTGCAGCAACAGCGGCGGCGGCGGCGGAAGCAGCGGCCGAAGTGCAAATGGTGCCCGTACACTCTACCTTTGTTGTTGCCTACACTTTTTCAGCCTTTCAGTTTTTTCTTTTCTCTCCTCGCATTCTCCAATGGAAGCTCACACTGAAAACTGTTGTGCTCACTGGCAATTTTCACTTTCAGTCGTTCTCTACAGCATCATTAATGGGCGCCATAAATCTCACACCTATCTGATTGCTGCTTATTGCGGGCTCAATCGACGCCGAGCAGATGTCAGAAGGTAATGCACTCCTCTTTTCTCAGCTGCACTGACGATGCATTACCATTAGTGCGGCAGCGTGCAGCCCAGAGAACCGGGCAGAAAGAAAGAGAGAAAGAGAGAGAGAGGCAGCAGATTCAGTTCGAGCACTGACACCTCCCAGTGACGGCAAATGAATGGATGCAACTTGGCTATTCAATTGCCGGCGCTTGTCACTACCACCACCACCACCACCACCACCAAACACCAGAAACACACTCTCCGTTGCTGTCTACCAACTGTCGACCACTGCTCGGCAGGGTTGTCTGCATAATAATGATTTGCTGGTGGAGCAAAAAAAAGATTGGATGCCAACTTTAGTGTTTGCCAAGAGTAGTTTCCAATGGGCGGCAGAGCCGCAGACAGAATCGACAGAAACGCGGCAAAATTGCCATCTGCAAAAGACCTTGTGGTTTGCGCTGCACAATTGGGTGGTTAAGCGATGCAGGCAGGCAATAATTCGATAATGATAAAGCTGGCACTGATTGAACGGACCACTGTGAATCACTACATAGCAAGAAAGATATAGACAGGCAAATCCAGCGGCATTTGAGTAAAGTAAAGCACCAGCCAAACCATTTATTGGCAGGCCCATTCATCGGCGAATCAAGACAGCTCGCCGCCGGAGATGGTGCTCATCAGTGAGTTCCAACACAGTTGCAGCAGTTGCTGCTGCTAAACCAAATGCCTGCACTCACTGTTCACTGCTCACAGCATCTCGTTTTCATGTCAGCAGAGTGACGTCCTAAAGACAGCACCACCGTCTTTCTTATCTCTCTCTCTTCCTTTTCAATCCGTCAGTTCTTTAGTAGACTGAATGTTACTTGGCAGTTGTAAGCATTGAGCACTAACTAAGCACTACTGCTGCAGTAGTACTGCATCTGATATTGATTTCAACTTTTGCAAGTCTGGGCCGAAGCACTAGTAGCCGAAGTGCACAGTGGTCACTAAAGCGAGTCAGCAGGCACAAGTAGGCAACTTTGTGAGGCACATCAAGGCAAAACTATTCAGCCATTCAGCTCGTACTGCAAAGTGAAAAGGCAAAGTGGCATGTCCTTGATGTCTTTTCCGGTCTTATTTCAAGCACGCCGCAACTTAATACCTGGCTGCAGTTTCTTTTAGCCAGTTGCGCCAGTTTTCCACTGTATTCAGTCTTTTGGTTTCTTGTGAGAAAACAAACACCGGAATACCCCTATCGTAGAGAGCCATGCATTTCAGCAGATAGCCGATGCATTGCAACAGGGCATCACCGACCATCACAGAGAAGCACCGTACGACAATCGTACGTTGGCAGATCGTTAGCACTTCAACGATTATCTCCTGTTTACTCTTATGCTGCCAGCAATATAAACGGACTTCCTAAACTTCTCAATTTGAATTTATTGTGATTGTCTATGCTGAGCTTGCTCCAGAACCAAGAATTTGAAAATTCAGCGGCGAAAGTGCGTCTATTTCGGCGCCAGTGCCTCATTTGCCGCTGCTGCCACTTGCCACATGCCACAAGCGGCTTTGTTGTTGACACGTAACAAGCAGTTGGTTTTTGCCGCATCGTCAAGAAAAGGAGTGAACGCTTTCTGGTCACTTCGTCTTATCTGCTCAGCGACACCAAACCAGTGTACACTCTCAACCGACACCAATGGCCCAATCAAAGGGATTCAAAGAAATCCGCCAGGATTTCATCAACTTTTTCCAGGACAAGTATGCCCATCAGTTTGTCCGAAGCTCAGCGGTTATTCCGCTGGATGATCCGACGCTGCTCTTTGCCAATGCCGGCATGAATCAGGTGTGTTTTCAGTTGATTTCAGACAGTCTTTTACATTTACCATCTCGTTCTAGTTCAAGCCCATTTTCCTGGGCACTGTTGACCCCAACAGCGACATGGCCAAGTGGAAACGCGCCGTCAACTCTCAAAAGTGCATCCGTGCCGGTGGCAAACACAACGATTTGGATGATGTTGGCAAGGACGTTTACCACCATACCTTCTTTGAAATGCTTGGCAACTGGTCATTTGGCGATTTCTTTAAAAAGGAAATTTGCAAGTGGTCTTTTGAACTTCTCACTGGAGTTTACGGCCTGAACAAAGACCGAATTTACGTCACATATTTCGGCGGAAACAAGGCTGCTAATCTCGACCCAGATGAAGAGTGTCGTCAAATTTGGGTGGACGTGGGAATCGATCCAGCCAGAATTTTGCCATTTGATATGAAGGACAACTTTTGGGAGATGGGTGAAACTGGCCCATGTGGACCATGCTCTGAAATTCACTACGATCGAATTGGCGGTCGTGATGCCTCTGCCTTGGTCAACATGGACGATCCTGATGTGATTGAAATCTGGAACCTTGTGTTTATTCAGTTTAATCGCGAGAATGACGGCTCCCTACGACAGCTACCCAGCAAACACGTCGACACTGGAATGGGCTTTGAGCGACTCGTCTCTGTCATTCAGGACAAGAACTCCAACTATGATACCGACGTCTTTGTGCCGCTTTTTAATGCTATCCAGGAAAAGACCGGGGCTCGTTTATACACCGGAAAAGTTGGCGCTGACGATACTGATGGCGTCGATATGGCGTACCGGGTTGTCGCCGACCACGCTCGTACACTGACCATTGCCCTTTCGGACGGTGGCCGCCCAGACAACGTCGGAAGAGGCTATGTTCTTCGGCGAATTCTTCGAAGAGCCATTCGCTTCATTGAAAAGCTTGGCGGCAAACCAGGCGCTTTGAGCTCTTTGGTGCCCGTCGTTGTGGGCCTTTTGGGTGACACCTTTCCTGAGCTGAACAAGGACCCCGAGCTGGTGATGGACATTATCAACGACGAGGAGCAGCAGTTTCTGAAAACCCTGTCTCGTGGCAAGCGTCTTTTGGAGCGCACCATTGAAAAGCTGACCGACAGCAAGGTTTTGCCGGGGGAGATTGCCTGGAAGCTCTACGACACCTATGGCTTTCCCTTTGACTTGACGCAGCTCATGTCGGAGGAACAGGGACTGACTGTTGACATAGAGGGCTACGAAAAGGCCAAAGTGGCCGCCCAGCTACTCTCTCAGGCGAAGATTAGTCAGCTGAACACTACCGTCGACCTGGACGTGCACGCCATCTCCGAGCTGCGTGACCAGAAGGTGCCCATCACGGATGACTCTGCCAAGTACAACTACAGCTCGCTGAGCGACAAAAAGGACAGCGTCTACCGATTCGAGAGCTGCCAAGGGACGGTGTTGGCCATTCGCAAGGACAAGGCATTTGTGCAGCAGGTCACCGACACTGAGCTGATTGGTCTGATTCTCGATGCGACCAACTTTTACGCCGAACAAGGTGGTCAAGAGCACGACACGGGCTTTATGATCAAGGGCGAGTCTGGGGCGGAGGTGGAGTTTCAGGTGCTGCAAGTCAAAGTGTACGGTGGCTACATTATGCACATTGGCCACCTGATCGGCAATTCAACGGAAGGAGATCAAGCGCTATCCCTCAAGGTGGGCGATTTGCTGCGACTGGAAATCAATCAGGTAAAATATCACTTTATTTGGTAATTGGACAGTTTCTAACTGTTTCTTTTGCAGGAGCGTCGCAAGTTAATCATGAACAACCACACTGGAACGCACGTTCTAAACTATGCCCTGCGCGCCGTCCTCAATGAGACTGATCAGAAGGGATCGCTTGTTGCCGCTGACAAGCTGCGATTTGACTTTACTTGCAAGGTAAGCTTACCGATGATAACCACCGCTTTCAAGTCTTTGCAACACTAATCACTTTAACATTTTCAGTCTGCCATGACGAGCGCCCAGATAAAGAATGCCGAACAGATTGCCCGTGAATTAATAGACAAGAACGAAGAGGTCTACGCAAAGGACTCGCCGCTGAGTGCTGCCAAAGCGGTCAAGGGGCTGCGAGCGGTGTTTGACGAGACGTACCCTGATCCAGTGCGAATCGTCTCCATTGGCGTTCCAGTGGAAGATCTGCTCAGTGATCCGTCAAGTCCTGCTGGCATGAACACGTCGGTAGAGTTTTGCGGTGGCACTCACCTCAAACGCTGCGGTCACATTGGCGACTTTGTCATCACCAGTGAGGAGGCCATCGCCAAGGGCATCCGTCGCATCTTGTGCGTCACCGGACCAGAGGCCTCTCGATCCATCAGCAATCTGGCCAAGCTGGAGAACTCGGTCAATGAGCTGAAGGTTGTAATTGAGGCGAACAAGTCGCAGTTTGATACACTGGCTAAGGAGTTGGTCAAGAAGATTATTGAGCTGCAAGATGAGGTGAATAAGCAGGACATTTCCTACTGGAAAAAGGACGAGTTGCGCAGCTCACTGAACAGTCTGAAGAAGCAGATTGATGACCACGAGCGTGCCATCAAGGCCGCCCAGATAACTGAAGTGGGCAATGTAGGCAAGCAGTTGGCCACTGAGCAAATGGGAGCCAAGTTCATGGTAGAGGTGCTCAATGCCGGCTGGAATGCCAAGGCGCTAGACATTGCGCTGAAGAATGTCAGGACTGTTAGCCCTTCAACTGCGGCCCTCTTTTTCAGTGTCGACGAGGAGGCGAAGAAGATCATCTGCCTCTCATCAGTTCCCAAGGAAACCAAGGAGAAGGGCCTGAAGGCTAATGAATGGATCAACAACATAACAGCTCTGATCAATGGCAAGGGTGGCGGCAAAGACGAGTCTGCCCAGGCCATGGGCTCCAACGTGTCCGCTCTTGACGAGGCTGTCAAACTGTCTCGAGAATTTGCTGCCCTCAAGCTGGGCAACTGATAAAGGTCACAACATTAATTACCGATTTTAAACCAATTCAATAAATACCGCTCTTTCACTTTGAATATCTTGATGCAATGAAACTGCTGCATTCACACTGAAACGCACTTGTAACTTGCGTGGTGTAAAGGCAGCAAAAAGTTCAGCTGTTGTTGTTCAGCAGTGTTGTTGTGATTTTCACGTTGTCCAGCTGTAGAAGAAGGAGAAGAAGAAAGTGCGAGAAGCAGAGTCACTTGCTGGAACTCCTTTTGAGGCAAATTAGCTCAAATCGTCTCACATCGTGCTTGAGGCAGCTCAACAATCCTGCAACTATCTATCCAGCAGCAGCAGGGCCCAACATTGGCATGCTCGAGTGGCCAGACCAGAAACAAACACAACCGAACCGCCGGAGTCAGCCGCTCTACACCAAACTGCTTTGACAACATGAAGCGTAGTGATGCGCTTGTTTCGTCCACGGCCAGGCAGCCTCGTCAAAAGGCCAATATTCTTTCGACATATCTCGTCAGTGATGAAGAGGACGACGGAGATGATACTTGTTACGATGACAATCTTTTTTCAGGGCAGAATGCACCTCTAAATAGTACCATCAATGAACGAATTGAGGTGCTGGGGGCGACGCCAATCTCCACTCTTCCTCGAAGCTCAACTTTTGACTTTTCTGGTTGTGATTATAGCAGTACAGCAATCAACGCCTCCTCCTCTACTGTAGAGCACCGTAAATCGTTGCCAAGCAGTTCCAGTGTTTGGTGCGACAATACAATCGAGTCTAGTACACCCCGTCGTTCGCAGTACCGAATATCTTTCGAGATCATAAGGGCCAAAACGGTCACGCCTCAAAATGGGGCAGGCAAATACGTCAGCTACACCATTTTAATTAAACGTTCTCCAGGGCTGGAAACACAGCCCGCGCTAATCAACCGACGATATTCGGACTTTTTGAGCTTCTACAAAGCTATACGGCAGCGCCATCCTCTTCTACTAAAGGACTTTTCATTTCCCAGAAAAAACTTTATTGGCAATTTTTCAGCTCAAGTGATTGCGGAACGCAGCTTGGCTTTTCAAGAGTTTTTAGCCTACTGTTTGAGCGTGCCGGAAATTCGATCATCAAAGGAGTTTTTCGCTTTTCTCTACTATCCCGAGCTACAGGAGGCAAAGCGTTGCCTGTTAAACATCCAACTAGAAGAGGCAGCTTCTCTATTTGAAAACGTCCACTTTATTCTTGAGAAGCTGACTGTGCTGAGCGGAAAGCCAAGCACCCAGATTGTACACACGTTATGCTGCCTGACTGCCACCCTCAACGCTGTCGATAATACTGTGGAGGCAAAGAAAATGGCTCTGAGGACATTTGAGATTCTGTTTGCAAACGATGGCGTCATCTCCCTGCCAAACAATAGTGCCGTTTACGAGGTGACCAATCTATACGAATCAAGTGAGCTTGTCTTGCCTCTCATTATCCTCTCCCTCCGTCTGCGCTGGTTCACTGGTCAGCAAAAGTTGCTACTGGAACAAAAACTCGAGGAAATGTGCCGCAAGCGGAGTTTGCCTCGCAACTTTGAGTCTCATCCCACGCTGCTCGAGTTGATACTAAAGCCCAACTTTTCTCCAATTCTCAATTGACGAACCACTCTATTACGCTCCACAGACCACTTTCCACTTATTTATTTCTATTTATTATACACTGTTGCTTCTTTATTATTGCCATTTAGAAAGTCTATACACAGACTCACTAAAGTCATCACTATTGTAGTAGTCAAACCACTGACTGTTTTTCTTTGTTTGCGGGGTGCTTTTGCGAGGCACAAATTGCACTCAACCACCGACTGCTGTTGGTACACTCGTTCATCGTCTGCATTGGCCAATCTATTCGTCATCGTTGTTAGTGGAAGTGCAGACTCTGCAGACTGATCATTGTACCACTCACTTGTGCCCCATTCATTCGCCGAGTAGTGTCTTGCACAAGGCAGCTATTAGTGGTGGGCTCGTCATCGTCCACCACCACCACCACATGGGCGCATCAATGGCGTCCAGTTGCTGAACTGCTGGGCAGCAAAGGCGCCCGCTCGAAATGGAGCACTGCCGATTAGACTCTTTGCCTCTCCCCCACCTCTGCACAATGAGCGTCCTTCAGATGAGGCCTGTCAATGGTAGTGGCCTGCTGACTAGGTAGTAGCAGTAGGTAGTAGTTCTGCATGCTTTTTATTCTCCACCGAGAGCAATTTACAACAAAATGATGACGAGCAGCGCTGATTGAGCCTGTTCGTGTCCTTGTTCTCTGCTGTTCGGCTGTTCTGCTCGGTGCTGTGCTGCTCTCTGAGTGAGTTTGTGTAGTATGTGCTCAAAAGCAGTGGCAGTCTTCCGTGGCAGAACTGAACAGTGGTGTTCATTCTACAATTGAGTTGGTCGAGGGGGAAGGGGAGGGGAGGAAGTTAGAGAGATCAATTGGTTAGCTGATGATGGCCAAGGCAAAGCCGAGCAGGGTGCCGATGATGATGACGCTTAGAATTGTGGCGAGAACAATCAGGTGGCCCTTGCAACGGCTGGACGAGGTCTGTTGCTGCTGCTGATGGTGATGAAGTTGATGCTGTTGTTGGCTGTGAAGGTGATCCATTGAGGGGAGACCAGACAGACGAATGTTGCTGTGACTGGTGGCCGTGCTGGTAAACTCGAATGGCCGATTTGAGGAACGACGAGGCTGCTGCTGCTGCTGCTGTTGATGGCCACTGTAGGGAAGGTGATGCTTTGAGGTGAACAGTGCACTCGGACTCGGGTACTGCAGGTGATGAGGGTGGTGAGGGTGGTGGTGGTGGTAGTTGGGGAGGTGGTGATGGTACGAGCTCGGAAGGTGGTGGTACATCTGACTAGAGGCGTAGTAGTGCTGCGGGTAGTAATGTCCCAGGTACTGCTGATGCTGCTGCTGCTGCTGCTTGTCCGTTTGGCCGTACGCCATATGGTAACCGTATGGCAGAGTGGAGAGGTATGGGGCGTGAGGGAGGTGGGGGTGTAAGTGAGTTGGATATTCCTCACCGGAGGAGGAGTACCGAGGCTGGGCAGGGGTGGCACTGTTGTCGTAGTTCAAGTGCTGTTTGTAGGACTGGTGCTGACCACTGCCGTGCACCGGACATCGACCACCTGTTAAATGAGAAATGTTTGTCAATGCCATTTTCTAGCTAACTGACCTACCCGGCGGAGAAAAGGGCAGACTGCTGTGGTGTCCGGCGTACTGGTATTGCCCCGTAGTGGTGGCTCGCGAGGCATTGTTAGTGTAGTGCTCCAGGTAGTTGCGGGCCATCTTCTTTCCAGCATGGCTTTGGTACCTGAGAAAGGGAGACATCGACAGTGAGGACAACACTGGACCACACCAAAAAGGGCAATGGGGGCACTCCCTCTCTCACTGCCCGCTATGTGTTACTTTGGATACAAGCTCGGTGAAAAGGTCGTCGTCGGTGCTGCTGCTGCTGTTGTCACTTCTTTCCCTTCGCTGTAGTTCTCGCAGGAAGACAGACTGGGTGCTAAAGAAGAGCAAGTGGAAGTGACCTCAGTGGACAGTGGCTCTAGAAGACGGTGGCGGAAGGAGGACGATGCTAGTGCATTTCTGCGATGACTGGCCGCGATTCTGGCCGGGTTCTTCTTGGTGGCGCCGTTCCGTGCGGCCACCTGTTTGTTGGCGTTGCACTGTTGCACCTGATTGAGCTTCTTTATTAGCTGTCGGTTAAAGTTTACCGCTCTACTGTGCCAAACATAGGGTGAACGGTAGTCGAGAAAGGCACCTCTCGACTCGGTCATCGTTCAGCTCACTGCTTGCTCAGAACGGCACTGAGACACTGACTTTTTAATTTTCCACCACTGCACACACTGTCACATTGCAGACTGAGGTGATGTGACTGCGCCGAGGAAGATGGTTGTGATGAATTAAAATTTGATAGCAGTAGCTACTGAAAAGCACTGCTGATAATAGTGGGCGCGATATGAAATGGTGGCCAGAGGATGGTGAGGTGAATTGCTAAGACTGTCCCAGCCTGTGTGGCTTGACCACCGCCGGCAGATAAGATGATGCTAGCTGATAGCATTGAGAAGTGCTGAATAGAGGAAAAAAGAATAATGAAGAAGAAAAGGGGAGAAAGACATCAACGCACAGAGGGCACAATACAAAGCAAACGGTGCGACCGCTTCTGCGGACTGTCTGGCATCGAATAAAAGACAACTCTCGGGAAAGTCGGCTTTTCGGACGACTGCTGCTGCTGCTGCGGCGAGCAGAAGCGGCTGCAGTAGCAGCCAAAGGAAGCAGTGTCCACAGCTGACATCGTCTCACCACCGTTGATTCCTTTCCTGTCTTTCTTTTTGAGAAGAAGAGTGAAGCTGTCCGTGCTCACTCACTTGCTCGCCCCAGAAGGAGCGAAAGATAGAGACGGGGGATAATAAATGGTGAATAAAAAGAGTCTAAAAGTAGTCGCAAGACGAAACCAATGCATGAGACGACAATTGAGACGACTGAAATCGCCCGAAAAGCACCTGCCAGCGGAGGAAGAACACTGCCAGCAGCAGCTCTGCGCTGAGTGAGAGAGAGCGCTACCTGAACGACGCTCAGCGTCACCGAAGAAGGCGCAAAGCTCCTTAGCTCTCTCTCTCTCTCTTCCATCAGTTGTGACAGCAAAAATCAGTCAATGACCGGAGCAGAGCACTGAAGAGGTGAGTGCTGCTGCTGAGCAACACACACACACAGTCGACAGCCAACTGCTGCTGCTGCTTCTGTTTGCCTCCCCAGTTCCGAAGTTCATTAAAGTGTCGAAAGTGGAGAAGAGCACTGATGGTGATGGTGGACAGACAACTGAATGGTGGTGCTGATCGAATCCTGGTGAGCGATTCACCAAGAGCACCATCGCAGATGAGAAGGGTAGCACCGGGTAGCAGCAGTAGTGCACTGGCCGACCATAAAATCAATCAAGCTTTTCGGGGCTTCTTCCGAGCCGATAATGGATAGCGCACATAGTCCGACTAACAGTCGATCACACTCACAGTCGATTCGATTCACTTGACCGGTGCCACTCTGATCCGGCTGTTGCCACTGCTGCTGTGCCTTCTCTTCCCCCAGCTCCAGAATTACTCAACTCTCAGCAGCACTGTCACTGCAGTGCGCACTGGCGGCACTGTCTCGTTTCTGTTTATAGCTGCCAATTAAGAGATGACTGCCACTCACTCACTCACTCAGGAAGAAGAATATAACATTCCGTTTCAGATGAGACCACCAGATCAGTGTGCGCTACTGCTCGCTCACACAGGTGCGCTCTCTTTCACCAAGAGTAGGAGTTGTAGAGCACACTAAATCAAGTGTGCTTTCAATTATAATTGAATCGGAAGTTCATTAGCTCCTCTCTGCTTCACTTGAATAGGTTCGCAGGGAGAAAGAATAATAAACATTGCGGTGAATGATGGGAGAACTGGTGCTGGTGATGATGGTAAAAAGGTGCACAGAGGCGAACAAAGGTCAAGTGTGCAGTGTATAATGATGATAAATATTTTTTATTATTGCTCACAATTTTTTATCTTTTGTTGCATAGAACCTTTTTAAAAGTGGAAGTAAAAACATCAAGAGTAAAGAGAGTAAAGGGTAATCTGTTTGTGGACGAATTGGTGATTTAGTTTCATTTAGTTTTATCAATTCAGCCAAGTTCAATTTTGAGTAGCACACATCGGGGAATAACAGCAGCAGTTGAAAATAAGCAGTGAGTTCAAGTGTCACTCCGAATTGTCATTGCGCCACTCCTCCTCATCCGCAATTTCATCGCAATTAGGCATTACACTGTTGTAGTGCTCGCCTAGCTGGTATGCATGGCGGAAGTAACTGTTTTGTTTTGATTGAATAAAGTAATGTTGTCAAAATCATGAAAGGCTCTACAGCACTGTACAACTTACCATAAAATAAGTGGATTGCTTGTACCAAACTCGGAAGAGCCAATTTGAATAGACGAGCCTTCTGCTTGAATAATTTCAATAGGCACTTTGAGGATGTTTGAGAGGGCTTTCAGCTCCAGGTGGCCGCCCCATGTTTTGGTATTGGCTATTTTATCACAATAAACTTCGAACTCCTTATCAGAGACCAGATTATTCTGATCGTTAAGGAGAAAAGGCCAAAATTCGTCCTTGTTTTGACGAATGTACTCGCTCGTTTTGTGTCTCAGCTCCTCAACAGTGTGCGATGCATTTCGAGTCAGCTTCATCTGATGCTCAATTGCTTTGTACATGCAGTCGCCGTCGGAGGAGATTTCACACAAACTAAGCCCTCTCTCTTCCAGTAAGTCTTCTATCCGCTTCATTTCAATCAGGCGAATATTATCAGAGTCGTCAACCTGACCAGATTTGATTCGTTCTTGCCGTTCTCTCTCTTTGCGTTCTTTGTTATCTCTTCTCCGTTGAGATTTTGACAGTTTAGAGTCTTTGTTGTCTTCAGACTCTTCACTGGTACCTGCGACAGCTCCATTGACGACACTGTTTTCCTGTGGCTGAATGGTCAGTTCTTCCACTTCCCGCGCATGTCTCTCTTTTAATTCTGCCTCGAGATTCTCAATTTCGGCGGTAACTTCTTTTTTGCGCTTTTTATCGTTTTTAGCAACGCTATGTCGTAATTTTGTAACTTTTGCTAAGGAGATAATTTTATGTAATTAGAAGATAACAAAACAATAAACAGTAGAAAATAATCATCGCTCGTCTTACCAATCAGGTCCTTCTTCTCCTGTCGATGCCTCTCCGCCAAGGCCTCTTCCTGGCCGCCGAGCTCCATTGAGACTACAAATGCCGAGAAATCACTCTGAAATCTAAGATCTATCTATCTGCAAGGTAAATAGGGCAACGTTGACAGTAGAGTCTGTGTTTATGAGGGAACCAGTTGTACCGGGTAGGCATCTTCCATGCTACCCAGTGCTGCCCCCTGCAGCACTGTGAACGCTAATCTTGCTTGACTTTGCCACTGCAAAACAAAAACTCTCTGCAGCTGTTGTTTGCCTTTTCGCAGCAAACAGGGTGTGCATAGTCGCTGGCAGACTGGCAGCCTACTATAAATTTCCGGTCGGCACTACGCAGACAAGCAGCACCTTTTTTCCAGTGATTGCATCATTGCATCTTTTCTCTGCATCTTGAGATTCTACATCGGCATCCGCATCTGCAATCATGGCTGAAGAGGAGCTGGTAAGGACACCGACTTTTCACCGCTTATTTTGGAGCTTTTTCTAAGTCCTGTGTTTGTTTATTGGCAGAATTTTGATCTAACCGCTAAGAAGAAGAAAAAGACCAAGAAGTTCGAGTTCAACGATGAAGAGGACTCGGGTAAAAATGTTGACGACGGAGCCGCAAATGGCGATGATGGTGAACCAGCCGATGATCTGGACGATTTAGGCGACTTTTCGGGTTTAAAAAAGAAAAAGAAGAAGAA